GAGGTATCATTATGTTGCGCTTGAGCTCCTCTATCTGTTCTTGACATCGGTTTATCTCTCTCATCTTTATTTCTTGCGCAATCAAAAGAAAACGATTTAATCGCGTATATACTTTCATTTTGCGCTATAAAAGCGCCATTTGAAGCATGTTTTACATTTGCAAATATCTTTCTTAAAAAGAAAGACACGGACTTGTAAGAGGTATCATTATGTTGCGCTTGAGCTTCTCTATCTGTTCTTGACATCGGTTTATCTCTCTCATCTTTATTTCTTGCGCAATCAAAAGAAAACGATTTAATCGCGTATATACTTTCATTTTGCGCTATAAAAGAGCCATTTGAAGCATGTTTTACATTTGCAAATATCTTTCTTAAAAAGAAAGACACGGACTTCTAAGAGGTATCATTATGTTGCGCTTGAGCTTCTCTATCTGTTCTTGACATCGGTTTATCTCTCTCATCTTTATTTCTTGCGCAATCAAAAGAAAACGATTTAATCGCGTATATACTTTCATTTTGCGCTATAAAAGAGCCATTTAAAGCATGTTTTTCATTTGCAAATATCTTTCTTAAAAAGAAAGCCATGGACTTCTAAGAGGTATCATTATGTTGCGCTTGAGCTTCTCTATCTGTTCTTGACATCGGTTTATCTCTCTCATCGTTATTTCTTGCGCAATCAAAAGAAAACGATTTAATCGCGTATATACTTTCATTTTGCGCTAAAAAGAGCCATTTGAAGCATGTTTTACATTTGCAAATATCTTTCTTAAAAAGAAAGACACGGACTTCTAAGAGGTATCATTATGTTGCGCTTGAGCTTCTCTATCTGTTCTTGATATCGGTTTATCTCTCTCATCTTTATTTCTTGCGCAATCAAAAGAAAACGATTTAATCGCGTATATACTTTCATTTTGCGCTATAAAAGCGCCATTTGAAGCATGTTTTACATTTGCAAATATCTTTCTTAAAAAGAAAGCCATGGACTTCTAAGAGGTATCATTATGTTGCGCTTGAGCTCCTCTATATGTTCTTGACATCGGTTTATCTCTCTCATCTTTATTTCTTGCGCAATCAAAAGAAAACGATTTAATCGCGTATATACTTTCATTTTGCGCTATAAAAGAGCCATTTGAAGCATGTTTTACATTTGCAAATATCTTTCTTAAAAAGAAAGACACGGACTTGTAAGAGGTATCATTATGTTGCGCTTGAGCTTCTCTATCTGTTCTTGACATCGGTTTATCTCTCTCATCTTTATTTCTTGCGCAATCAAAAGAAAACGATTTAATCGTGTATATACTTTCATTTTGCGCTATAAAAGAGCCATTTGAAGCATGTTTTGAGCTTGAGCTATCATTATGTTGCGCTTGAGCTTCTCTATCTGTTCTTGACATCGGTTTATCTCTCTCATCTTTATTTCTTGCGCAATCAAAAGAAAACGATTTAATCGCGTATATACTTTCATTTTTCGCTATAAAAGAGCCATTTAAAGCATGTTTTACATTTGCAAATATCTTTCTTAAAAAGAAAGCCATGGACTTCTAAGAGGTATCATTATGTTGCGCTTGAGCTCCTCTATCTGTTCTTGACATCGGTTTATCTCTCTCATCTTTATTTCTTGCGCAATCAAAAGAAAACGATTTAATCGCGTATATACTTTCATTTTGCGCTATAAAAGCGCCATTTGAAGCATGTTTTACATTTGCAAATATCTTTCTTAAAAAGAAAGACACGGACTTGTAAGAGGTATCATTATGTTGCGCTTGAGCTTCTCTATCTGTTCTTGACATCGGTTTATCTCTCTCATCTTTATTTCTTGCGCAATCAAAAGAAAACGATTTAATCGCGTATATACTTTCATTTTGCGCTATAAAAGAGCCATTTGAAGCATGTTTTTCATTTGCAAATATCTTTCTTAAAAAGAAAGCCATGGACTTCTAAGAGGTATCATTATGTTGCGCTTGAGCTTCTCTATCTGTTCTTGACATCGGTTTATCTCTCTCATCTTTATTTCTTGCGCAATCAAAAGAAAACGATTTAATCGCGGATATACTTTCATTTTGCGCTGAAAAAGAGCCATTTGAAGCATGTTTTACATTTGCAAATATCTTTCTTAAAAAGAAAGCCACGGACTTCTAAGAGGTATCATTATGTTGCGCTTGAGCTTCTCTATCTGTTCTTGACATCGGTTTATCTCTCTCATCTTTATTTCTTGCGCAATCAAAAGAAAACGATTTAATCGCGTATATACTTTCATTTTGCGCTATAAAAGCGCCATTTGAAGCATGTTTTACATTTGCAAATATCTTTCTTAAAAAGAAAGCCATGGACTTCTAAGAGGTATCATTATGTTGCGCTTGAGCTTCTCTATCTGTTCTTGACATCGGTTTATCTCTCTCATCTTTATTTCTTGCGCAATCAAAAGAAAACGATTTAATCGCGTATATACTTTCATTTTGCGCTATAAAAGAGCCATTTGAAGCATGTTTTACATTTGCAAATATCTTTCTTAAAAAGAAAGACACGGACTTCTAAGAGGTATCATTATGTTGCGCTTGAGCTTCTCTATCTGTTCTTGACATCGTTTTATCTCTCTCATCTTTATTTCTTGCGCAATCAAAAGAAAACGATTTAATCGCGTATATACTTTCATTTTGCGCTATAAAAGAGCCATTTAAAGCATGTTTTACATTTGCAAATATCTTTCTTAAAAAGAAAGACACGGACTTCTAAGAGGTATCATTATGTTGCGCTTGAGCTTCTCTTATTTGTTCTTGACATCGGTTTATCTCTCTCATCTTTATTTCTTGCGCAATCAAAAGAAAACGATTTAATCGCGTATATACTTTCATTTTGCGCTATAAAAGAGCCATTTGAAGCATGTTTTTCATTTGCAAATATCTTTCTTAAAAAGAAAGCCATGGACTTCTAAGAGGTATCATTATGTTGCGCTTGAGCTTCTCTATCTGTTCTTGACATCGGTTTATCTCTCTCATCTTTATTTCTTGCGCAATCAAAAGAAAACGATTTAATCGCGTATATACTTTCATTTTGCGCTAAAAAAGAGCCATTTGAAGCATGTTTTACATTTGCAAATATCTTTCTTAAAAAGAAAGCCACGGACTTCTAAGAGGTATCATTATGTTGCGCTTGAGCTTCTCTATCTGTTCTTGACATCGGTTTATCTCTCTCATCTTTATTTCTTGCGCAATCAAAAGAAAACGATTTAATCGCGTATATACTTTCATTTTGCGCTATAAAAGCGCCATTTGAAGCATGTTTTACATTTGCAAATATCTTTCTTAAAAAGAAAGCCATGGACTTCTAAGAGGTATCATTATGTTGCGCTTGAGCTCCTCTATCTGTTCTTGACATCGGTTTATCTCTCTCATCTTTATTTCTTGCGCAATCAAAAGAAAACGATTTATTCGCGTATATACTTTCATTTAGCGCTATAAAAGAGCCATTTGAAGCATGTTTTACATTTGCAAATATCTTTCTTAAAAGAAAGCCATGGACTTCTAAGAGGTATCATTATGTTGCGCTTGAGCTTCTCTATCTGTTCTTGACATCGGTTTATCTCTCTCATCTTTATTTCTTGCGCAATCAAAAGAAAACGATTTAATCGCGTATATACTTTCATTTTGCGCTATAAAAGAGCCATTTGAAGCATGTTTTACATTTGCAAATATCTTTCTTAAAAAGAAAGACACGGACTTCTAAGAGGTATCATTATGTTGCGCTTGAGCTTCTCTATCTGTTCTTGACATCGGTTTATCTCTCTCATCTTTATTTCTTGCGCAATCAAAAGAAAACGATTTAATCGCGTATATACTTTCATTTTGCGCTATAAAAGAGCCATTTGAAGCATGTTTTACATTTGCAAATATCTTTCTTAAAAAGAAAGACACGGACTTCTAAGAGGTATCATTATGTTGCGCTTGAGCTTCTCTATCTTCCTAAGAATTAGAAATGTCGGCGTAAGGTACGGAGGGGGGGGTGAAGTTCCCCCTACCCCGTGACCCATAACGACCAAGGCGGTGTTCATTTCCTGAAATTTCTGAAATTGTCCAGAGCTGGACATATATGGGGTTCTTGTGCACCCAGTGGCGGATCCAGGGGGGGGGGGGGGCCCGGGCCCCCCCCTCCTTGAGAAAAAAAATCATGTAAAGTCACGTGATTTTTACCTTTTTGGGGGGTTGGGCCCCCCCCCCCCCTGGCGCTCAAGGGGGGGGGGGGTGCAAATTGAAATTTTTTTGAGGATCAAAAAAAAAAAATGTGCTCACTACCCCCCCCCCCCCCCCCCCCCCCACTGAGCGAATTTTTGGCCGGCGCGTTTTTCAAATTTTCGGGAGCAAAAAAAAAAAAAAAAAAAAAAAAATTGTGCTCCCCCCCCCCCCCCCCCCCCCCCCCCCCCCCCCCCCCCCCCCCCCCCCCCCCCCCCCCCACTGAGCGACTTTTCGGCCGGCGCGATTTTCAAATTTTCGGGAGCAAAAAAAAAAAAGTTGGGCCCCCTCCCCTAAGAAATCCTGGATCCGCGCCTGTGTGCACCATCTCCCCTATCTTCTAGTGTTAATAACTAAGAAACAGAAAATGTCGGCGTAATGTAGGGAGGGGGGTGAAGTTCCCCTTATCCGGCAACAGCGCTATCATTAATAACATGAATATAAACGAATGGGGCTTTAATGAATCCTCGCGCGCACTTTTCGCAGTCTATTGTTGTTATATATCAATGGATTTCTTAAAGTTCGTTGACCTCTTAGTGGTCGCGAAAGTAGCTGTCGCCAAAGTTCGCTGTAACTTCTAACATTTGACATCATTTCGTGATACTCGTGATGATAGCAACGATATTAAATTTCCTAGTAGATTCTAGGCCTAGATCTAATGCCAATGGCAGAACGTGTCTTCTCAAGAAGTTCTGCCATTTTGTTAGTGCATGAATAGTGGAAAGCCGATGATCGCCAAGATTTCAGGAAAAGGTAATAAACCACCAGTTCAATATACAATAGCATATTTATTGTGTTGCCCCGTATACCTGTTTATATGTTGCCTGTGGTAGCCTTAACTGAGGTAGACCGAAAGCTTCAGTCTCTATATCGTCGGTTGTTCCACTGAGACTACGTCTGGCTCCACTAGATCTCCGGATATAGAGACTGAACGATCGCCTATGCCATCGCACGTTGATACACTCTACGGGTATACGATAAGACGATACTGCCCTGACGCTAAGTTAAATCCTTTTTTTGTAAGAATCGCATGCACTATCATATACAATTTGCATTTAGAATTAAACCACACATGATAAACATTAAGAAAATATGTGCCTTGGACCTCTGCATATGAAATCTTCTTCAAAAAAGTGTTATTATCTCTTCCACTTGACTGTCTTTAGACGTCAGCCATCTTGAATCAAAGTAATGAATATTCATGCCAAAGTTTTTTAGTCTGCACCCCATTGACCTCATTCATAGACGTGCGCGTACGCGCACGTACATGTACATCACGCTGCTGCTACTCACGTTTGAGTTCTTGTGTTGCCTGCTTCACGTGCGCGCGCTATCCTCGACGTGACGCGCGGAGGAGCTAGCCGAGGCGAGGTCATTGAATATTCATTAGCCACCATTTTGATTTCTGTCGGTCAATGCTTGACGTGGGTCATCGAGAAGCAGCCAAAAGCTTGGTAAGTCCTTTTATTTCTTTTCTATTTCTATTTCGTGGGGAAGGGGGGTAAAAAGGGAACTTTTAGGGACTGACAATTGCCTAGAAAATTACTGCAATTGAAGATAAATGATGTATTTCTCGTGGAGTTTGTCATGTTTGTGGGAGGGGCCTAACGGCTAAAATCTAGCCGTGATATCTTCAACATACGATGGCATAGGCGATCGTTCAGTCTCTATATCCGAAGGTCTAGTGGAGCCAGACGTCTCAGTGGAACAACCGACGATAAAGAGACTGAAGCTTTCGGTCTATAACGGAGGGTACAGTAACTCCGTTTTCGGGAAGCGTTATTTTTTTCTGCGGCACAGATTGGGTTTTTTTTTTTAAAGGGGTCTTGATTTACAGACTAATAGTGGTCGTGTGCGTACTACAGTACATGTAATCCACTACCGTATGGAATTAATGGAAAATCATTACATCAACAATTAAAATGAAATTGGAAATCTGAAGAGGAGGCAGCACGTCAATAAGGAGAACATCACAATAATTAATCAATAAAACTTAACTAACTTAAACGAAGAGGAATGTTATCTAAACACATAGGTCACGATGTTATTCAAACTTCTTCGCAACGATATGTGCTAGCGAACATGACTAGTCTCACGTACGTGCAGACACTATTCAGAAGGGAAAGAACGAACTTCCGACAACACGCACCATGCCCCAATCTGTGCCGCAGAAAAAAATAACGCCTCCAGGAAGCTCCAACACCGGCGCTGGTGTTGAAGCTTCCCGGAGTTAAGGGTACAGTGGCTTGATTCATTCTAAGATTAACAATGTGAGAAATAATTGGTGCAAATATCCGAGCGCAATCTTTAAAAGGAATGGTAGGAACTGGATCTAATGGACAAGATTTAGATCTAGACTAGGTCTAGGCTCTAGGAGGAAATTTACGAAAAAGGGAAAGAATTTCATCTTGGGTGGTATGTTGAAAGTAGGGAGGCCAATGCCCGGGCGTAAGGCTTCTACGCCTACGATTTGTGCGCTCGTCGTCCCAAGTCAGAAAATTGCCTGAAAGAAAAAAACAAAATAAAAATATCTATTGAATAAAATATATAACAAATACACAATTGTACACTCCAAAACATACCTATAGACTCTATTTACAGATCTGTAATGGTCTTTCACCATTTGTTGACGATCTTACACATTTTGACGTATTTAAATCCAATAATTGTCGTAGCAGACACCAGTGTCGTGCAGTAATGTATGAGAAGTGTTAAAAAAGACATTTCAGTAAAAAAAAAAAAAAAAAGTCTACGTGAGCAGTCTATACTTCAATTGAGAAGTGGAATGAATGCCATGATTTGAAGGTGTGTGTTTTAGTGTATGATATGGTTAGTGAGAGAGAGAGTCAGAGAGAGAGAGAGAGAAACATCTCTGTCAGTACACGTCTACGTCAGTGTATGTTGCATGCATGCAGTCCGTATTGTGTTTGCTGCAAGTTGGATTTATCGATCGAGATCGTTGATAATGCAGTGTCAGATTGATCTTTACTCATGAGGAAATAGTAATTGGAATACATCTCAAAACTAAGGTAGGCCTATTTATTTATTTTTACTTTACTTTTATTTTAATCTCGGAGTTTGCAAAGAGTGGCTTTCGAGCTTTCTCTCTATGTTTTGACCCTCCATGCCATGGCTAGCATGGCTCGATTTCAGGATTGCGGCTTGCATGCAATTACCGTACCTGGCCTGTAGTACTGTGTCGGTGTGTGTTACCGATTCAAGGCTAGCCGGTGATGATGAATGTACTTTCGCGCGAAGCTTTGAACTTGTTGTCCGGGCAATGACAAGCCTATTCCCTCGGGCCTGTCTAATTCTCAACGTAATGAAATTGATTGTTTCAAGGCTCTTACGTACGGCCAGGCGTAGAAGGAAGGGCCTACTTAAGAGCTGGATATCTCCTATTTTATGTAACTTCTAGAGTCGGTAGATGGGTGAGTTGTCTTAGTGAAAGAAAATGCTTTCTTTTAATCTTTGTTTTATAATAAACAAATTAGTAAATAAAAAGTTAGATTTTGGCATTGGCCTCCCTATTGAAAGGTCCTCAGTGTGGAAGAGGTGTGGGGTCCGAGTGGAAAAACATTTGGATTAAGACTATCTCTGATTTTTGTTTCGACTGCGTAGCAAAAAGCGAGACATAGGCACTGCTTTTCTGGTGGCGATGGCGACGGCGGTGGCGTGGACGGCGTCAACATCAAAAAAGGATAAGTTTTTGAATTTAAAATTATTTTTTTTTGATAGTATAAGTTCTTACTTAGTCAATGAAGCTTGGACTACACGGTAATTAAGTATCCCCAATCATGTGAGTAGAATTTCAAGTCACTAAGTTAAGGTCAAAGGTCATTTTAGGTCAACAAACTTAGACTTTGTTGTGGCATCAACATCAAGATTTTGAATTTTTAGCATATTTTCAAAAGTGTTTGTTCAAATTCCATGAAACTTGTACCCAAGAGTTATCAAGTATCACAAAACAATTGACACAATTTCCAGGTCACAATGTCAAAGGTCAGTTTAGGTCAGTAGACTTTGATTATGTTCTCCCAACTTAATATGAGAATAAATAAATATTTTTGTTATTTGTTCATATTTCATTCAAGTTATCGATCTTGGTACAAATAATAGTAAATCATTCTTCTGATGATTCTTAGTCAATATTCACTTCAAAATGCTGAATATATTCAGAGGATTTCATTTTTGAGGGCCTGCTAATGGGCCACCCTGCCTATAAATAATGTTCCAACCTCAATTTGTCATCATATCGAATTGCGTAATTAGTGTTGTAACATCATGGATATCTCCAATTCTGTTTAACCGCCAGTCAAAACCGGACGGTTTTCGGTTAAACGATTTATTAAAAAATATATATATTTTTTTTTTTAAACCCACGCGGGGAAGGACTTTCATTTAACTGCGAGGTGCAGTTGAAGGCGCCGATTTGTGCTTGTGAACTTGTCACAAATAATAGTAACAATGTCGTGTTTAGAAGTATGTGTAAGATCATTGATGTAAATTAAAAACAGTAGAGGACCTATGATAGAACCTTGTGGTACGCCATGTGTAATAGAAGAAACATTGGAGGAATTATTATTATAAAATACATATTGAGATCTATTAGAAAGATTACTTTCAAACCAAGATGACAGACAAATTGGAGTGTTCTAGTTTCCAAGTGGTGAGTCAACACACCGATTACTGAGCTGGGAGACATTGCCAAATTAAAAAGTTATTTAAAAAAAAAAAACGGGAAAACGATACCGTCCAATTGAAATCGGATAGGGCCATGAACGGTCGGATACCAGACGGTTGAACGTTTGACTACAGCACTATGCGTAATACAGGCGAGAGCGTTTCCCTTTTACACTAAAGAATTGAATAAACGTTTCAGCCATGGAATTGCCATCAACATGTGAAGGCAATGGAGAAAACTGTTTGCAGTTCAAAAGTTTCTTGTGATCATCACCGCAGTCCTCGATGGGGACTGATGATAATTAGCAAAGGTGCGATTTGCATGACAAAAACACTGACCTCTTAAAAGAGTTTGCAAAGTTAGTTCGGCTGAAATACAAAGACACATAGTATACACCTAAAAGCTGAATTTTGCCAATTCGATACTTACATACCTTATGATAATAGCGGTTAGTGTAAAAAGGCATGTGCGCAGGGAGTTTGCTAACTTCAGCAAACTCTGTGCATGCGCCCTTGTATACTATACTAATCGCTATTATTATTATAATTGATATGCAAACTGTGTGCAGATGCATGCACGTTGTGTACCGGTATATTTATGCACGATCCAGACGTTCTCGCAAAAAAAAAAATTCAGTTTGGAGAACCTAAAAGAAAAAAAAGAAAAACACAGAATTTGAGTGAGGATTAACTCATATCCTGCCATAAGGTCGCATGCACGCTACCGTTATAGTGCTTTGTACACGCGAGCACGCTTTCAATTGGCTGCTTAATTCACGAGAGCGGGCCACAGCATAGCTGCTTTATGCATGCATGCTCGCATTCGTTATAGCAGTTTTTGTTCATGCTCATTGTACTGTGCTGAGTGCTTGGCACGCGCTATTGATCGCACCATCAAATTATCAGATTATCTCAAAATAAACTTGGCACAGGGGGATTTGTGGCTTGGCACAATGGGGATTAGCCCTGTGGCACTGGGCTGTATTCATTACGGTAGGATAATTTGTTACAGTATAGTAATCAAAAGCATATTTCAGAGAGACAAATTCAGGAAAAATCGCTCAAAAACTTGCTTGGCTGGCGTCATATTCTTGTGTGCGCTCGAACTGCCACATTGCTTGATGGATTTCTTTCAAATTTCGTATGGAGGTGTATCTTGGTATAATCTACACACCTATAACTTTTGGTGATGCTGCCCCCAGTGTTCCGTCTTCTATAGGGTAAAAGGCCATATTTTTGTGGATGGTTTGTGTGCGCTCTATAGGCCATATTTCTCAAGGGATTTGTTTTAAAATTTGAACAAAGGTGTATCTTGGTATAATCTTCAAGCCAATAGACTTTGGTGATGCTGCCTCTAGTGTTCCATTTTTTATAGGGTCAAAGGTCATATTTTGATAGATGTCTTGTTTGCACTCTAGTGTGCGGTCTAACTGCATCATTTCTTGACAGATTTCTTTCAAATTGAGCATAAAAGTGTATGTTGGTAAAATCTATGCACCTATACTTTTTTGTGATGATGCCACCAGTGTCCCGTGTTTTTTAGGGTCAAAGGGTCATATTTTGGTGGGTGTCTAGTGTGTGCTCTGCAGGTCATATTTCATGACGGATTTCTTTTAAATTTTGAATGGAGATGTATCTTAGTACAATCTACACATCTACACTTTGGGCGATGCTGCCCTCATTTTCCGCCTTTTATATAGTCAAAGGTCATATGTCTTTTATGCACTCTAAATGCCACATTTCTCGACAGATTTCTTTCAAATGGTGTATG